CGGGCTCCCTGCTCAGCGGGGAGTCTGCTTCTCCCTCTGACCCTCCTCCCTCTCGTGCTCTCTGTCTCTCATTCTCTCTCGCAAATAAATAAATAAAATCTTTAAAAAAAAAAAAAAAAAAGACCTTGAGATCATGACCTGAGCCAAAATCCAGAGTCGGACGCTTAACTGACTGAGCCACCCAGGCACCCCTATCTGCCATTTATATAACACTCTATCCAACCAAAATAGAATGCATATTTTTTTCAAGTACATACAGAACATTTATGGCCTTGAGAACATTCTAAGGATAAAACAAGTCTCAATAAATTTGAAGAGATTCAGGTCATACAAATTATGTTCTTGGACCACAAGGAAATTAAATTAGCAACCAATAACAAATCTGGGGGCACCTGGGTGGCTCAGTTGGTTAAGTGTCCAACTCTCGATCTCAGCTCAGGTCTTTTTTTCCCCAGCTCAGATCTTGATCTCAGGGTTGTGAGTTCAAGCCCTGCGTTGGGCTCCACGCTGGGTGTAGCACCTACTCAAAAAATCTGGGGGCGCCTGGCTGGCTCAGTCATAAGAGCATGTGATTCTTGAACTCAGGGTCATGAGTTCAAGCCCCATTACTTAAACTTTAGAAAAAACAAATCTGGAAAATACCCAATTAGGAACTAATTACATACTAATAGCCCATAAGACAAACCAAGAAATCAGAGTATTCTGAATTGAATGAAAATTAAAAAAAACAAAATTTGTGAGATGCAGGTAAAGCAGTTCTTAGGGAAATTTATAGCACTAAACACTTATATTAGAAAAGAAGAAAAGTCTCAAACGAGTGATCTCAGCTTTGACCTTAAATTAGAACAAGAAAAAAAGCTCAAAGTAAGCAAAAGGCAAATTAAGATCAGAATGGAAAGGGAAAAAAAAGATCAGAATGCAAACCAATGAAATGGAAGCAGAAAAACAGTAATCAATGGGACCAAAGCTGATTTTTTTGAGATCAATAAAATTGATAAATCTCTAACCCGTGGTTGCCATGCTATGGGTCATAATCTAGCTACCTGTTTTTGTAAATAAAGTTCATTGGAAGTCTCACCCATGGGTATTATCCATGGCTGCCTTCACTAACAGCATTGTTGAGTAGTTGCAATATAGACTGGAATGGCCTGCAAAGCCTTAAATATTTACTATTTGGCCTTTAAGAAAGAAAAAGTCTGGGGATTACTGCTCTAGCCAAACATATCAGGAAAAGAGAAAAGAAATTACCACCATCAGGAATGACAAAGGTGACATCACTACAGATTTTACAGAGATGTTTTAAATAAGGTAATATTATGAACACCTTTATGCCAATAAATTATTAAAATGGACAAATTCTTTGAAAGACAACACCAAAGTTCACTCAAGAAAAATAGAAAACCACAGGGCACCTGGGTGGCTGTTGTTGAGCATCTGCCTTCAGCTCAGGTCATGATCCCAGGGTCCTGGGATAGAGCCCTGCATCAGGCTCCCTGCTCAGCAGGAGGCCTGCTTCTCCCTCTCCCCCCACTTGTGTTCCCTTTCTCGCTGTCTTTGTGTCAAATAAATAAAATCTTTTAAAAAAATGAAGAAAAACAGAAAACCTCAGTAGCTGTATCTGTTAAAACTGATATCATACTTGGGGCACCTGGGTGGCTCAGTCAGTTAAGCGTCTGCCTTCGGCTCAGGTCACGATCCCAGGATCAAGCCCTGTACTGGGGTCCCTGTTCAGCAGGGAGTCTGCTTGTCCCTCTGCCCCTCCCCCCACTGCTCATGCTGACTCTAACAAATAAAATCTTTTTTTAAAAAGGTGGGGTATCATACTTATTTATGGTTGAGTTTTGGTAGTTGGTCTATTTCTCCCAGTCCCTTTTAAGGGCTCATCTGATTAGGTCAGGCCTACTCAGAATAATCTTATTAACTCACAGGCAACTGATTTGAGACTTTACACCCCCAAAATCTCTTCACAGCTTTGTCATAATACATAAAACAATCATATTCACAATCCTGCCCACACTCATGGGGAAGGAAATACATGTACACCATGTACATTATATGTATGCCACGTACACCAGGAGTCAGGAATCTTCATGGCCAACTTAAAATTCTGCTGATCACAAATACAGAAACAAATTTATTCACTGAAGGGGAACCTGGGTGGCTCAGCCGGTTAAGCGGCCCACTCTTGAGATCATGACCTGAGCCGTGTGAGATCAAGCCCCACATGGGGCTTCACACTCGGTGTGGAGTTTGCTTAGGATTCTCACCCTCCCTCTCTCTGTCCCTCCCCCCACTCTCTCGCGCCAAAAAACTAAAAAGTTCATCCACTGCAACGTTATTTTTAATCATAAGATATTGGAAACAACCTAAACATACATAGGAGAATGGGTGAATAAACCACAGTACATCACACAATGAAGTGATTTTTTTTTAAAGATTTTATTTATTTATGTGACACAAAAAGAGAGCACAAGCAAGGGGAGTGGCAGGCAGAGGGAGAGAGAAAAGCAGGCTCCCCACTGAGCAGGGAACCCGATGTGGGGCTCAATCCCAGGACCCCAAGCCAAAGGCAGATGCCTAACTGAGCCACCCATGTGCCCCGATGGAGTGATTTTTTAAAATGAGGTATAATGGGAGTTATCTTGAGAATATGCTATTAAGTGAAAAAAGCAAAGTTCAAGAGTATTTGTAATATGCTACCTCTAGTGTAAGAAAAGAGGAAATAAGAAAATACACATATTTAGTTATTTTGACAAAAAGAAGAAGAAAGTTTAGGGGGACAAAAAACGACAAAACAGAAACGAGATTGGGTTGCCCACAGATGGTGGAAACAGGTGAAAAGATTGACGTTGAATGGGAGTGGAAGGTATAGGGCTAGTGACACTTCTGAGTAAACCTTTTGTAGTTTAAAGTTGGAATCATACTAATACTTAACATACTATAAAATCCAATAAACAAACCTAGGGAAAAAAATCCCTAAGAACATAAACAAAAACAAATCAAGACAAGTGTATTTCGAATGAATAATGTATCACATCAAAGGATGGAGGCAAAAAATGAACCTAAAATTTTGAACACATTTTGACTATATACCCTCATAATAAGTCAAAAAGAGTTATAAACAAATATTTAGCTTGTTAGTAGGTTAAATTTTCTGTAGTGGTAAACATTTAGCAATACTGAAACTACTTTCTCTGGGTCGCCTGGGTGGCTCAGATGGTTAAGCATCTGCCTTCAGCTCAGGTCATGATCCCAGAGTTCTGGGATCGAGTCCCGCATCGGGGTCCCTGCTCCTTGGGAGCCTGCTTCTCCCTCTGCCTCTCTCTCTCTGTCTCTTACGAATAAATAAATAAAATCTTAAAAAAAAAAACTTTCTCTGTATTTGAGAACTGAGCAAATAAGTAAATATATTGAGAATAACAGGAGCCAGATTTCTCATTGCTGGAGAAGGCAAAGGATAGACAGAATCAACCCTGTGGTGATAGACTGAAATTGGATGTCTTGTTATGAACTCATGGTGGTATACACAGTTATAAAATTAAGTATATGCATGTCTATAACACACATACATAATACATATATAAACATACACATATTTCGTAGCTGTCTGCTGAGAGGACACAGAAGCAATGCCCCCCGCCACAGTAACATTGTGTACATGCCAAGCACCCAGATGATGGTTTCTAACTACTGTTCACCCCCAAAGGAATCCAGGGTTTCTGGGCAAAAAAATTAATTCTAGCCCGAGGTAGGGAAAATACAAGATGAACCTGGAATATCTTGTGTCAAAAAGTAAGAATGTACTCAAGAAATAGTTGGTCATGCCAAAAAAAGACACAGGAACCAGCTGGCCAAATCTGGCCATCAAAATTACTATATCTGAGCATCAGAATAAATGACAGAGATGGATAATAAAAAATTGAATAAAATAACCTATTTTTATATATGAATGAATGGGGGAGAAAGAAGAGTTCTTCCTTAAAGTAGAATACCAACAACTAAAATGTAGAAGGAAACGGAGTTAGAAAATCATCATTTCAATAGTAATAGACGCTTAACGACTGAGCCACCCAGGTGCCCCAAAAAGTATATCCATTATAAAACATTGAAAAACTACAGATTACTAAAGAAAGTAAAACAAACCAAAAAAATTACTATTTTACTGAATGTCTAATCCAACCAAAGGGAAGGAAAACAAGTTTATCTATGTCCATCCCCCAAAAGCTAAAGTTATGGGTGACAAGCCCCAAAGCCCTCTCTGCCCCAGAGAATTCTTCCTCATGCCTCCTTTAAGTCCCAAGGGGATTTTCAATCATGCCAGAAGTGACCCAATTCTCTCAGTCTTTTTGGGCTTCTTTCACCAAAAACAAGGTCTTTCTGAGCTGACTGATAATAACTGACATAAACTATACAAAAAAAACCCTATAGTTATATATTCTTTTCTCTGGTCTTGCTTCTTTTTCTCAGTATAGCTCAGACCTGGATATGAGTCCCTGGCTCTGCCATGAATTATCTGCATAGCCTTCTGCAGATCACTCCTTTCCACTGATGAAATGAGGCAATTCTTCCCTCTTTCCTCAGCCCCACTAGGTTGTTAGGAGAAAAAATAAGCTCAAAATGACCTAAGGTCCTGTGCAAACTGTGAGGTGCTGAGGGGTAATGAATAATTCTGCTAAGGCTCAACCACACTCAGGACCGAGGCTTTTAAGATATCTGCCTTTCTCTATTTAGTTGGAGGCAGTCCCACCTCCACCCCAAATCATCACCAGAGCTGCAACAACCATCCATTTTCTCAAAATCCAATAGAAAACTATATCTTGAATGTCTGGCACTGAAAAGAAGCTCATGCTGCAACTACTAGAGTTCCAGGAAGCACAAAAAGAAAAAAAAAAAAAGCCCAGTCCTGCTCACCTTCCCCCATATTTCAGGGCCAACTCCAGCCCACTCTGTCTTCCCTGAGGTCTCCAGAGTGCAAAGGAGAAGGAACCACAAGACTCAGCTGAACTCCAAGTACAAACTTTATTTCTGTTACAAGTATGTTAATAATAATAATAGTAGTAGTAGTAGTACTAGTAGTAGTAGTAGTAGTAGTAAAATAAAAAGAGGGGATGGGGGCTCTGATACTTGGTTTTCAGGGCAAGCCATGGAGCTCAGGCCTCAGTCCTGATCCAGGCAGAGCCCAGCATGGCTCTGGCGGCAACAGGGAGGCCCCAGCCTTCTCCATCAGAAGACAGTAAAGACAAAGGAGCCGTGCTCCCCACCAGAAACAGTTACACCAAATGCCAAAGAAGCAGATTTAAACAAAGCCTCTAGTGCACTCACCTCTAGCTCAACTCATCTCCAAAGCCTTGTTCCTAACATATACTGCAACTGGCCTGAACACTTTACCAGAGTGCCTCCATACACACCACAGGCCCAAATTCTACAGTGGGGAGGGACAGTACACAGGAGAGGGTACCTAAAAGTTCCCAAAGTGAGGTCCCAGCAGAGAAGAGAATCACTTCACTGGTGAGTACCAGGTTTCCAGAACCCTCTCTCCTCTTTCCACCAGGACTACACAGCACCAAGAAGCAGTGGCAACAGTATGTCAAAAGATGGAGCCCTGGTGGGCTGAGAGGCCATAATTTGTATTTCTGCGCAGCCAAAAGGCAGCAGCTAAAGATGAAACATTTCTCAACAGCCTCCCTGCTAACCCTCCCCCAAACCCTCAAACTCCCACAGCACAATCTCAAAAGACACAAAATGGCCATAACCTACAAAAAGTTAAAATCTGTAAAATCTCCCCTGCCCACAGAGCCCAAGAGGTGGAGCCTGAACCGCAGCAAGTGCTGCTGTGCAGAAAAGATGGAACAACTGCGCAGGTTCTCTGTGACACCATTACTCCTCCTCCTCTTCCTCCTCTGCATCCCCAGCTCCCTGTTGCTTGGGGGGTTTTGCCTGTTGAACAAGAGAACACAAACAAAGTAGAAAGGAGGAAGTGAAAAAGCAGTCGTCCTCCTTTAGAGCCCTAAAAATAAATGTCAAACTTCGATGGAAACCTCATCCACTGCCTGATGCCCACCTCTTCGGACTCCAAGAACCATACCAGTCCCACCCAATTATGAGTCCTCACTGAGCCATCATTGGCTGGATCCCCAATTACCTTTGCAGTTCTGTTTCGGTAGCTGGTGGCTGTGGAGGTGACCCGCGAGTTCCTGCCACCTTCACTCCTACCACTGAAAGAGAAGGATTGGAAACTAGTTCCTGAGATATTTCTGAACAAAGGTCAGAAACTCAGAACAGAAACTGCTGGAACCAGACAAAAGCAACTTTCCACCAGCAGACAAAACAAATGAACAATGAAAAATCCAAAGAAAGCAAAAGAATGTTTTGGGATCAGGTCGCAATACACGCAAAGTCCATACTGCCACCATGTTCTCCTGAGCTACTCCCAAGCTCCACTCCTGGCTACTGATTCTTACCTTACACTGTACCTCCCTGAAGGCCCACGGGGGAAGGTGGGTACAAGGTTTTCAGGGTAGAGATTTCGCACTGGGTGAATCACTGGAACGTGTCCAGTGGCCATGGCTGCGTTATGGCTGTTTCGATTGCGTGCCCGGCCATCCTGGCTGTCTAAGTTGTTGAGCTTCAATATGCGAGGAGGGCTAGGCTGGCACCCAGTTCTGGGGCCTGATGTGGATGTTGACAGTCGGTTACAAGTTGCTGTCATATTGTTAATGGGTCTGCTGGGGGGAAGAGGGTAGGTGGTCCCTTTAGCCGTTTCCTGCTTGATATCATCCATATAACCAGAAGACAAGTCTCCTGAGAAGAGAAAAAAGCACCACCTTTAGGGAAAAGCCTGCTCTTGCTATTAGTGCTGGATCTGGGGCAGGAATAATAGGATTCTGGGTAAAAGACTGCCTTGCTGTTGAAACCCACATCTCTAGAACAAGGTTGGTTGGGAACACCTTGTCCACACTTACTACCTGAGTCCTCAAATACAGTCTCCTGAGTATTCTACAATGGTGTACCAGCAAATCTCGAAAAACAGTTTCTAATTGGCTTTGTAGTGGTTAGGTTTCAAAAACAGCTTATCTGCCTACTCATGAGGCTTCTAAATAATATTACTAATAAATAGGAGTACCCTTAACATAGTTCAACTAGAAGCAGGGACTCAGGGCAGACATAGTAAGGTCTGAAAATTATCTCCAAATTATCCACTAACTGCACAGATAGGAGACCTGCAGCTGAATAAGCACTGACAAGTAGGTCTCACGGCTGTCCCCAAAGCCATTACCCTATAATACACTCCAGACAGCTTAGTCTAACATGGGACCACAACTAGCCACATAAGAGTCCCCAATGAGATCCTACTGTGCTTGGTAATTCAGAATTCAGGTAACCCCCATGTTAGAGTAGCAGATGAGAAGTGGTAAGCAGGCCTGAGCCAGCAGCAGACCTGTGGCCTTGGCTCAGCCCTGGCTAATACCCTGGTGTCTGACACGCCTCTTGGGCAGCTCTGGTGAGGTCTCTGGAGGCTGGAAATCCTGTCTAGGAATCCCCTCTGTCACATGGTTGTTTGCTGTGGCTGGGCGTTGGTCACACTGGTCCTAACAAGAAAAACCAGAATTAGTTCCTCAGGATTGAGTTATTCCTATGAATAACTATGAAAGAAAGGAATAGCAGGCTGGGTAAACAGACCTAATGGGGGGAGGGAGGAGACAGACATGACTTTGACAACTACTGTCAGGAAGGGCCTGGGACTAAGAGGAAAAACATATGGAATGGCACAATCATTCCCATTAGCACCTAAAGCACTGAAAGAAGCACTCTGATTGTGCCAGGATAAAGGAAGGGCTGGTCTTAAGAACCCAGAAAAGCATGTCAATACTTTGATCACAGAACATTTGCATGGTTGCTTATTTCACAGTCTCCCCTGAGACAACAAGCAGTTACTTGTCTACTGCTTGATCCAAAAGCAGAAGTCTTTCTTACAGAAATGAAATGTGTGATGCTCTAGCAAGAGCTATATGGGATCAACTACAGAAAAGACCCTGAACAAACCCTCAGCATTAGCTCCTAATAACAAACAAGACTAGGCAGAAAATGTATTTTTTTACCAACAGGTTGGAATCCTAGACTGTAAACCTAAAAAAGAGCTTCAGACTGCCTAGTCTTAACTCCTTCATTTATAGATATCCCTAGTGAGGGGACAGAACCTATCTACAAAGGTAAAGCCAGGAATACAAGACTCAGTGCCTCCACAACAGGAAGAACCTACCTGGTCAAAAATAAAACGTTTGTCAGTGACCTCAGGGAAATTCTCATCAAAATCCTTTTGGCAAGGAGGTGTCTGGGTGGTTCAGTCAGTTAAGTGCTAACTCTTGGTTTCGGCTCAGGTCATGATCTCAGGGTTGTGAGATCGAGCCCTATTTGGGGCTCTAAGCTGAGGGTGGAGCCTGCTTAAGATTCTCTTTCTGCTCCTCCTCCCCTCCCCTTCTACATGTGTTCTCCCACCCTCTAAAATGATAAAAATAAAAACAAGTCCTTCTGACAGGTCCTAGATGCCTGCTTAAATGGAGTCCTGGGTCCCCAGCTAATGACATTATGGTTTTAATTGACAGAGGCAGAGAAAGTCTAAAAGCCTGAGGCAGTGTATACCTCAGATAGTTCACAGAACAGGGCACGGCCAGTAGCCAGGTCAGGTATGCATGCAACTTAAAAGCTAAAGAAGCATTCTCAGTTCTGAAAGCCTAGGTTCATTCAGAGTGAAGTAGACAGGTCCTCTGGGGACTTCTACCTGGTGATGGAACAGCACCTCCTCCTCCAGCTGTACCCCACAGAATTCACATGGGATGATGATGCTATCCTCCACAGGGGGTGAATTACTCAGGCCCATCAAAGAGTCTAACTGGTTACTCGTAGCCTGCTGCAAAAACTTTTGGAAGATGACATCAGGATCCTCCACCCCTTTGGGGGAAGTACTGCCCATACTGAGTGAAGGTAAGGCACAGGAAGGATTACAGCTTGTCTGTCTCAAAAAACACAGGTTAAAAAAAAAAGAGGCGTTAAGGAAAACACTACATTCCTAAAACACTGTCTGAAAGTCACAAATGTTAATTCTTAATAATGGGGAGAGAGACTAAAAAGGGTTAGGGCAAACACAGATGGAACACTCTTAAACATTTCTGTACCATTCTACATTGTTTTTACTGTGTTCATGTGGTTATTATTATTTTTTCTTTTTTAAAGATTTTATTTTTTAAGTAATCTCACCCAATGTGGGGATAGAACTTATAACCCTGAGATCAAGAGTCACATGCTCTACCAACTAAGCCAGACAGGAGCCCCTGTGATTCTTCTTTTTAAATTGAGAAGATTCAAGATTCTTCCCACAGCCATTAAGTAAAAGAGGCTGTTGTCCCTATTAATAGGTTTTCTTATGCTCTTCCCAAACCAAAAAGTAGATGTATTCAAACACTATATTATTCCACTTATGGGGGGAATATATGTTCCACCCAGAGCACAGGGATTACTTAATAGTTATGGAAATGCCAGATGAGGCCAAACCAAGGGGAAAAAGTGGTTCCCTCCACCACGTAATCCTCAAACACAAAGGCTATTCTCTCTTATCATTTCTAAATAGCTCATGAACTTTCAATCATTCAAAAAGCATAGGACACCTTTCATATACCAGGTATTGAGAGATTCAGTAGCTAGGAAAACACAGAATCTTCTCAAGGAACTCAGCCTAGTGGTGCAGACCAACAGGAGATCAGGAGACCACACCATGGGGTGACAGGCTAAAAGAGAAGTGGGCACAGGACTACTGAGGACACAGGTGGGACCTCTGACCTTGTCTTCATAAGATCCCTCAGGACGGTTTCCTGAAAGTTATGTCAGAACAAAGTCTACAAGTAAGGATGTTGTTGGGTGTTGAGGAAGCAGGGGTGGATAACCACACATCTTGCAGAAGAAAAAGTAAAGTGCAGGGCACCTGGGTGGCTCAGATGGTTAAGCGTCTGCCTTCGGCTCAGGTCATGATCTCAGAGACCTGGGATCGAGTCCCGCATGAGACTCCCTGCTTAGCGGGGAGCCTGCTTCTCCCTCTGCCTGTCTCTTATGAATAAATAAAATCTTAAAAAAAAAAAAAAAAGTGAAGTGCAAAAAAGATCCTTAACCCTTCCAGGGAACTTCAAGGACTTCAGTACACCTCCAATAAATCAAAATGGGGCATGAGATGACACCAGATTAAGATGGGCGGTGGAGATGTACACTAGTCACCATAGTATGGAGAGAGCAACCGGGCCTGCTGGAATGAACGATTACTTTTTTCCAAGAGGGAACAAAGCTGAGTTCTCATACCCTTAGGTCCGTCACACCATGGTAAGAAACACAG